ATGTGAAGTTTTAAAATATAGTACTGAAAACAGTATTCTGATACATAGATATCTGTCTAAATTTGTTTCGAAGCTATTTCAGCTCATTTTTATCTTTGTAGATTTTATAGGGATATGGGAACGTTTCGTCATTAGCGAATTGTATAGTTTTCCTTGTAATATTATTATTAATAGGATTACTCGGTAGGAAGTGAAACCATTTCAACTTCATATAAACGATTCTATGCGGCTTATTAACTTAAACCGAATTTTTAAAGTAACCTATCCCCTAGACAGGTTAGACTGACAGGCTTGTGATTAAAGACGATCCGTCTCTTTCCATACACAAATAAAGGGCCAACTATAACATCCTTTCAATTCCTAGGGAAATGAGTGTGGGAAAGACATGTTGAACATCATGGTAAACGGCACTGAAATAGCGTCGGTGAGGGATAGACGTAACAGTGAATGTAGCCCATTAGGTGTGTAGTTATGAGAAGTGTTGTAAACAATACCCTCATTGTAGACTGCGATGGAATGGTTTGAATAAAGTCTCAGCCTTGACGAAATCTAACCCAGCTAATATATCTGAATTTCCGCTCAACAATAGTTGATGAATTCCATCACTGCGTTTTGTTCTTCGTTGAATGTGCGGAAACCATTGTTTTTGAAAATTTAAAATCTCTGATGGTAATCGTTTCATAAGTGGCCGAAGTATAATTATGGTCTTTTGATATACATTCCGAATTTTTCAGATGGTAATCAAATGGTTCTTGGCATGTTAACAGGAACAATTCTCAGAAGTGTTTCCCACGACTCAACATCTTTCGTGTTTGCTTATCTATCCATAAAGAGCAATAGCCTACTTGTTGACCATATGATGAACGGCAATGTTACGGACCTGAATATAGCTCCCAACCCATTTCATTCGTCTTCGACCAGTCCATCTATACTGACCGACCAATCTTTTGTAGTAGTTCATCTCCTAGTCAAATATATGTCACGGTTTTACTCTTGTGATTTGTTGCATGTTGTAGTTTAAATCGCCGTCCTGGTATAACGTATCCGCGAACAGTTAGTCGCTATTAAGCAATTAGTAAAATGAGGGATCCTCATCAATACACAGCTGACCCACTCCCATTGGTACGAACAGGAGAACGAGGACCTGACGGTAAAATTCAACTAAAACACGTTACAACTAGATTAAATCGTCCATGGCTTGTGATAGATCACAATCGTTCCAAACAAAGTTTAACTAAAACTATCCATGAAGAATTAGTAGAACAGGTCAAAAAACATGGTGGAGACATCCGTTTATTGCTTTAGTAGCCTCAGGTGAAGTGAAAAGATGGATTATTGAAACTGCTAGTATGAAACCTGGAGATATTATACGTTCACATGTAGATATCCCTACTATTCCAGTTGATCCAAAAGAAGGTGATGCTTATCCAATTGGTGCATTACCAGTTGGCACAATTATCAGTCAATTTGAAATAAAACCTGGTCAAGGTGCTTTATTTTGTCGGACAGCAGGATCTAGTGCAACGTGGAAAATATGTTGGTTCAAAATTAAATGAAGAATTAAATTTCACATCTCTAATTGATGAACTAGGAGATGAATATGTTGTATTTGTTAGATATGTCGGTTTTGAGATGTATGCACAGAAGCACACTAAATAATTGTTGGCAGCAGGATGACCCTGAACATATATTTGAAGCTGTAAGCTCTATCCAGTTGATGTGAGAAGCGTTGAATCTTTCAAAGGTGAGACAACAATAAGGTTTACTTCAGGAACAGATGTGATTTGAGACAAAATCACCAGTGAATCACCGTAAGCAACGGCAAATTTCTTCTATATTCACTAATTCGTGTATAGATTCAACTGTAAGACAAACTACTTCACATGTACCGCTATAGTGCGCATCTGATGTAATCAATTGTATACGGAAGTGGTCTATTACATATAATATTATCCCTCCTACCCTGCAAATTATAACTCCATCACTTCTAATACAGGTATATACTGTTACAAATAGAGAATAGCCTACAGTCACACGAGCCACGTTTTCTTGACAACAACTATATCAGGACTTAATTCGTCAACCATCATACTTAGCTCAGAAAACTTATTTCTGGGACTACAATTGTTTGTGTAGCACATTTTACTGCGTGGTTTGGGGGTCATCCGTTCTACCCATACAGGGCTCGACATTATTGACTAATACCCCTAGTTCACAGGACTTTTTTCTTGGATGACGATTATTTGTACAAAAAAATCGCATCAGATACGTTGGATGCTCATTCAAATATCGTATTACAAAATAAGTATCCATTTATGTACATTTAACATAATAATAATGATAATAATAATAATAATAATAATAATTTATTCTCAAATAACAGTTTGTTACATGAGGCATGCCAGTTTACAGGCAAGATCAAATTGATACAAATGATACAATATACACTGTATTAAATTACATAGCTGGGTTGAAAATTTATAAGACATGAATGTAGATTGTTTTAATCAGTACTATAGTTGGCGCGCTTCACGAAAGTTGCGTTGCGAATGTGCGACTGATGGTCAAGAATAGGTCCATTGAAGGTATGAGCTTCTAGAAATCGCAACCTGACGGTAAAATTCAACTAAAACACGTTACAACTAGATTAAATCGTCCATGGCTTGTGATAGATCACAATCGTTCCAAACAAAGTTTAACTAAAACTATCCATGAAGAATTAGTAGAACAGGTCAAAAAACATGGTGGAGACATCCGTTTATTGCTTTAGTAGCCTCAGGTGAAGTGAAAAGATGGATTATTGAAACTGCTAGTATGAAACCTGGAGATATTATACGTTCACATGTAGATATCCCTACTATTCCAGTTGATCCAAAAGAAGGTGATGCTTATCCAATTGGTGCATTACCAGTTGGCACAATTATCAGTCAATTTGAAATAAAACCTGGTCAAGGTGCTTTATTTTGTCGGACAGCAGGATCTAGTGCAACAATATTTCGACGTGGAAAATATGTTGGTTCAAAATTAAATGAAGAATTAAATTTCACATCTCTAACTGATGAACTAGGAGATGAATATGTTGTATTTGTTAGATATGTCGGTTTTGAGATGTATGCACAGAAGCACACTAAATAATTGTTGGCAGCAGGATGACCCTGAACATATATTTGAAGCTGTAAGCTCTATCCAGTTGATGTGAGAAGCGTTGAATCTTTCAAGGGTGAGACAACAATAAGGTTTACTTCAGGAACAGATGTGATTTGAGACAAAATCACCAGTGAATCACCGTAAGCAACGGCAAATTTCTTCTATATTCACTAATTCGTGTATAGATTCAACTGTAAGACAAACTACTTCACATGTACCGCTATAGTGCGCATCTGATGTAATCAATTGTATACGGAAGTGGTCTATTACATATAATATTATCCCTCCTACCCTGCAAATTATAACTCCATCACTTCTAATACAGGTATATACTGTTACAAATAGAGAATAGCCTACAGTCACACGAGCCACGTTTTCTTGACAACAACTATATCAGGACTTAATTCGTCAACCATCATACTTAGCTCAGAAAACTTATTTCTGGGACTACAATTGTTTGTGTAGCACATTTTACTGCGTGGTTTGGGGGTCATCCGTTCTACCCATACAGGGCTCGACATTATTGACTAATACCCCTAGTTCACAGGACTTTTTTCTTGGATGACGATTATTTGTACAAAAAAATCGCATCAGATACGTTGGATGCTCATTCAAATATCGTATTACAAAATAAGTATCCATTTATGTACATTTAACATAATAATAATGATAATAATAATAATAATAATAATAATTTATTCTCAAATAACAGTTTGTTACATGAGGCATGCCAGTTTACAGGCAAGATCAAATTGATACAAATGATACAATATACACTGTATTAAATTACATAGCTGGGTTGAAAATTTAAAAGACATGAATGTAGATTGTTTTAATCAGTACTATAGTTGGCGCGCTTCACGAAAGTTGCGTTGCGAATGTGCGACTGATGGTCAAGAATAGGTCCATTGAAGGTATGAGCTTCTAGAAATCGCAACCTTATGTCCCTTTGGGATATCCAAGGCTTTAAGGATGGTGCAGGATGAAGTAACCTGTTCCATATCTCAAGGGGGCTGAAAGAGGGAGCAAGTAAAAGAAAACACGAGAGGCAGAGTAGCCAATATTCATGTAGGAATGTTTAAGGTATGATTACTCAGTCTAATTTTCTTTTATTAAGGTATTTGTTAAGAAAGAGCATTTTAATAGGTTAAAGAAAATAGGCTTTAGCAAGGTGTGAGTGGACATACAACTGACAAATGGAGGCGATTCGGAAAAGAGCTGAGAGTATAAGATTATGTGTGATTATAAAATAAAAGATAGTGCTAGAAACAGTATTGTGATATACAACTGGCTATCTTCCTTTTATTATCGAAGCTATTAGAGCCCCTTTCGTTTTTTTTATTTATTTTTTTTCAGGTTTTATAGGGTCTTGAGTAGGCTTCGTATATTAGCGAATTGTCTAGTTTGCTTGTAATAGGATTTCTGAGTGGGAAGTGAAACCAATTCAACGTTCGTAACACGATTTAATGAGGTATTTTGCGTGATAAATCAGCTTCAATACCTTAAGTCCGTGACATCCCACATCTACACGCGCGCTTTTGAAGGTTGCAACTTTTTTTCACGTGGTATTATTTTATTTTCCTATTAGTTTTTCTCTTTAATTTAACACTTAATAGCGATAAATAATTCGTCACTGATAGGGTTCTATCAACTTGACACCTTATTTAGGAACTCAACGTCATAAATTAATCTTGCTAATTTTCACGCTATCTCTATCACCAATTAACGTTAATATATTCACTCTTAACTAATACTGGGTCTGATCCTAACATAAAACTTTACACGTTCACTAAGTTAAATTAAAACTATCGCCATCCACCTAATTAAACTTTGTATTTACATCACTTCCGATAATGTCCAGGCCATCTAAAAAACATATAATCTCTCCTGATGCCTATAGCACCTGCAAAAGATCTAAATCAGTCACTAAAGCGAGTAATGTGAAACCTTATAAACACACTGATCAGTCTGCATCCTACTCTGATCTTCCCTCACCCACACTAAACGTGCACCGTTTACTTGGACAAGACATATCACTACCTTGCATCTCGCTTGTCGATATAAATAAGAGCAGTCACAAACCGTTAGAGTCGACATCATTTGTCAGTCCAAACAAAAGCACCACATGTTGTGAGCAGTATTTAGACAGTGCTGTTGACCCCAAACACCCAGCAATCTCACAATCGGTCATCCTGAATAGCGGCCCACGGAGTACATGTAAGCCTGCCTACAATAGCCAGCCCGATGATGTAGATCTTGACTACTCACCCAGACATATACCCCAGACACATCCCCCAACCAAGTGTGCACAAAGTGACCATCCGCTAGACACATGCAACAGGCCTGTATGTAACCATATCGACCTTAAAAACTTTGATATAAACTCCAATAATCTCACCACTGGTGGACCTAAAAGCAGCAAAACAGAACTTAGCCTCACCCAAACTATTCAAGACCTATTACCGTACAAATATTTAATCAGTGTTCCAGAAAATCCCGATCTGGAAATTATAAAAAACACTGAAAAAGTAATTGACCATATATCATCTGAAGTGTTGAAAAGACTTCAGTGTATGCAGAATGTCATTGTGTATAATATACCTGATAGTACGAACATAAAAATCGCTAAAAATACTCTACTACAAGAATGTGGATTGTCGCAATCTTGGTGTGTAACAAGAAGATTACGTAAAGCACACACTAAAGCCTCCTGTCCCATTCTATTTCAGTTTGGTAGCACCACTGAAGATAATCACCTCATCAATAGTCAGTCATTACTGAGGCGTATTCCAACATTTAAAAAGATTAGGATCATTCATGACAGGACCGCTATCCAGCGTCGAATCTGCAATGGAACACAAACTGATCAACCCAGCTTACGTAGCCGCGGCAGTTACAGCTCTTGTCACTGCACAAACCCTAAAATATCATACACTGCCCCCCCAAAAAATGGAGGCACGTCGGACACTGCTATTAGACCTAAGGACAAGACCGCACATAAAGCAGCTGCAACCACTCACCCTCAGCCCAAACACTCAGCTACCCCGAAATGCCAAACCACTTATGCCTCAATAGCGTCCAAGTATTACCCTAGCGGCCCCTATAAAATGCCTAAAAATGATCCTCCCAGGAATTGCGCTAACAGCTACAGACTCTCAGACACCGCTGTACGAAATAATACCAAACTCTCCGTAAAAACCCACCAATACTCCAGCACCCCTAACCCAAAACATGCACCTTCTCATAGCAATAGAATGCCCTACAACAAACATAGTGAAGTGGCAACACCCACACGTGATACCCATAAGTCATATGGTGTCAACCTTGTAAGCCCCATGAACCAACACAAAACTATACACAACAGAAACACCTCTCCTGGCAACAATAACGAGCATTCCTCCATTCCTTACCAGAAACATACAACCTCCCCAACTAACCACAATAGGACTAAAATTGCCCACCGCACACGAGGAAGCCATAACGTTGGCCTACTTGGGAACCCACCTACTGATTCTAGGTACTATCTAAGTCAAGCCACCCAATACAACGGTTTAGTCCCCCCTAATTCGACATACACACTATCTCATCCTTTTTTATCTCTCTCCCCCTCAACATTACTGCTATGGGGTCTCCAAATGTTGAGGGCGACAATCCCACTATTCTGAAACCATCTATATACTCCGATTTAATGGGGAGTGGCACATCCTACTCAACTTCGATAACTGTCTCTAGTCTTGAAAACTCCTTGACTGAACCCCCTGATCATTCTCCGGACACATTACCTAACCATTCAACTCTACCTTCCACTCTTAGACATACGTCTTTCACCAAAACCACACCCGACTACCCTTCTTGCATTAACCCTACTGGTAATAAACTAAACGCTCATCAATATGGAGTCAACGCTTCCAATTCTTCCTTTTCTCACGGCAAAACAGACAAACCACTCGGTTTACATTATACTCTTCTACTAGACAAACAGTCACCGTACCTGACACTTATGTTAATCAACGCTCGATCTGTACAAAGTAAGATGACCTACCTACGCACCCTATTACTTCTAAACAACCCCTCACTTGTTTTGATAACGGAAAGTTGGCTGTCCTCCGATACCACAGACACATATCTACAAATAGACACCTATGAGCTCTTCCGCTGTGATCGAGTCACCAAAAAGGGTGGTGGTTGTCTCGTTTATGTATCAAAAAATTTGAGAGCGGAAATCTATAGCGACCACGTCCTCAGCAAAATTCCTGAATCGATATGGCTTACTGTGCACACTCATGAGTGTAAAATACTAATCGGATGCATATATCGAGCTCCTAACACTCCTAGTTCAACTGACACTATTATAAGTGAGTCATTTGCTCAGGCTGCCTCGCTTGACTTCACTTACAAAATTGTATGTGGTGACTTCAACCTTCCCACCATCAACTGGAAAACACACTCTGGCCCATTGTGCTTTGAAAGCATACTTAGGTCCTTAGACATACACGGCTGGCAACAACATGTACACCTGCCTACACGAAATCACAACATTCTTGACTTGATATTCTGTCATAATGTCACACCAACATCAATGGTGGTTGGCGAAAAGTTTCACAACAGCGATCATAAAATAGTCCTCTGCACCCTTCCGATTCTTGCCATATGCAACAAACTAAAGACATTAAACACGCGATTCCAATATAGAGACTATGCAAACGCTGACTGGGAAAACTTTCGATTTCTAATAAAGCACTCTGACTGGGGCAGTTTCTTTACCAGTATTAACCTCTTAGAAACATTAGAAATATTCAATATCACCACCAAATCTGCACTAGACACTACTATACCCTCTAAAATTGGTTTTAAAACAGTTACTCCCTATATAAACCAAAAGACTAGGTCTAAACTGCGAAAACTGAAAAGGATGTACTATATATCAAAAGACTTCAGTGCCCTGCACCAGATATACTCCGTACTTGACGGAGTACAAAGTCAACACAACAAGCATAAACAGGTAGAGGAACGTACTGCGCTCGCTGCTGCATCTAAAGCCCAAGCCCTATGTCGTCTCCTCACGAAACGCATAAGAAAGAACACAGACCACAACATTCACTCCTTACTGCACGATGGAGTAACGTATAATGACCAAACCGTCATATGTGAACTATTAAGTGAATGGTTTCCTCACAATGGGAATACATCTGATGCTCCAGATATCGACATAAAGTGCACCGGCAAAAACTATCTTAGTACCATAAACTTCGACATTAGGAGTATACATACCGCCATTAAAACCCTTAAGCCAAATGCGAGTTCTGGTGCCGATGACATCCCTTCAATCGTTTATAAAATGTCAGGACCGGACATACAGACGCTACTACTCAAAATATACACATTATCTTTAGAGACAGGTACATATCCGGAAACCTGGAAGGTAACGTATGTTCTTCCCAAACACAAATCCGGACCGAGAAACCTGGTTGAAAACTACAGACCTATAAATATCACTCCAGTCATATCACGCATAATGGAAAAAGTGATACAAAATCAACTGTCTGATCACCTACTCAAGGAAGATCAAATAGACCCGTCACAACGCGGCTTCATTAGAACAAGGTCGTGCAGTACATGCCTGATAGACTTCTTTAACGAGGTTACTCGTATACGTGACCAGAAGAAACTAGTTATTATACTATACTTCGATATTAAGAAAGCCTTTGATAAAGTACCTCATAATCTTCTAATCGACAGACTTAAGTCAGTTGGAATTATAAATCTCCTTTTGCAATGGATCAAGTCTTTTCTTACGAACAGATATCAAATAACCAAGATTAACTCTAATACATCTACACCTCGACCAATAACCAGTGGTGTTGTGCAGGGTAGTGTCTTGGGTCCATTGCTCTTTATAATCTACATCAACAATATATGCAAGTGTTTTAGCACAGGTAAGACCTACCTCTATGCCGATGACTTAAAAGTCATCTATAAAACTGACATTTGCGATTTACGCAGTACTATGCAAACAATCCAACATGAACTCAACATGGTAGATGACTGGTGCAAACGCTGGAGGTTAGAGCTCAACATAGAGAAATGCGGCTGGTTATGTATAGGAGACACGTCTCTTAAAATGAAACTAACACTTAGCAATCACACACTGCCTAGACTGGCATCAGTAATTGACCTAGGGGTACATTACTCACACAGCCTTAATTTCTCTGAACACATCTCAGCCAAAGCATCCAAAATGAGGAAATTGCTTGGCTTCATTCTCCGTAATTTCTATCAAAATGAATCTAAAATCCTTCTTTATCAAGTTTATGTAAGACCTATCGTTGAATACTGCTCGTTCTTATTTTCCAACCTACGCCTATCTGATATACTAAAGGTGGAAAGAACACAACGAAACTTCACCCGCAAAGTACTTAAGACTGACTCGGTCATTGACTACAGTTCTCGATGTCAAATCTTAGGAATAGCACCCCTTTGGGAGAGAAGGCTTAGGTCTAATTTGATTCTCTACTTCAAACTACTCAAAAACCTTACTTATTCAACATGCAAGATAATTCTTGCCCGAGATTCACATGAATACGGACTTCGAAACAAAGTATCTACGGTCAAAGTTGAGAAATACAGATCAAAAACTCGGGAAAACTTCTTCCTAACCAAGTATGCAATAATATGGAACAGTCTTCCCTCCGAGACTCGCATGGCAGATGAACTACATACGTTTGTGAAACTGCTTGATCAAGCCCTCACTCGCACTGATCTTGCACGTACGAATACATCTGCGCCCCACTCATACATCATAGGCTCTCTCCATGTTTATACCAAAATGGACTTCAAGTTCAGTTTGCCTTATTTTTCCTACTTTGCAGTTGCATTAGTTACTTTTTCCACCCTATTTCTTCACTTTAAGTATACAGGTAACTCACTGGACCTATCATTACTGTTAAACTAAACTCGGTCGATAAGGGACACTCACTACCACCCCAAAAAGTCAAGAGGACCGCACAATCGGCTGCCCACTACCAGTGGTCTTGCATCTATGGAACCTGTTACCAATCAACTGGTTAAGACAACAGAAAATAACATCAGCACCAAGTTACTGTGAGTTCCTTCCTGTTTATCCTGTATCAACATTTTACTCTTCTGTACACTATGTTGACTAGCAATTAATATTATTTCTCCACTCGTTCCCTTATCCACAACTCATACTTCTATACTCTTTCCGCCTGCTTAAATAAACAACTATCCTACAATATACCCTTCCTAACACTTATACTCTGATTGGCAAACTATACTTTAAACTATAGTCAACAGAGGCACTGCATCGATGCTTTACCCGCAGTCCATAGCTTGTAACTGCCTGATAAGCTTGTAAAATGGTACTTATAGAAATAGTGCTTTCCAACAGGTTGTGAAACAGAGGATTGTGTGAGGTATGACGTGTATACAAAAAATAAGCCTAAATGAGCCTAACATCACAAAAGGAGGGAGGGTGGAGTTACTGACCAGCAAGCATTGATGGTGAGGGCGATAACTTCAATCCACCCGTGTTTGTGGGGACAGAACATTTTGTATGTACCAGGCTCTTTATAATTGAGAATAAGACAGTCAATCTGAGATATAGATTGTCTTCCTGCGCTCACCACTCAGACTCATGTTTCCAATATTATGCTGGATTAGCTATTCTACTAAGACAACCTATAACATGCTAACTCGGACTTTTACACTAGGATTGCGTGGCCGACATCGGATGGACAAAAAAAAGAAAAAAGACAATAAAAGATATAGTCACTAGTATTCTTAACACTACACCCTCTATATACACACCCTTCTAATAAACCGCTTCCCTTGTACCAACCTTGACTTCCTTTCCTTCATGTGAGCTTACTCCAACTTGTTAAATATCACAACTCATTGTTCTTTATTAGTACATTCTCTAATATGGAGCCTCGGACTTCACTTCACTCTAACAATACAAAATATGAATTTATTCTGATTTATTCTACCTCTGTCCGTACTACTACACAATGTTAAGCAACCTTTGGCGTTCATATCCAAGTGCCTTGCTGCTCTTCTGTTTCTCTTTTTTTCTTTTTCAGAATCTTGCTCTGAGAGCACAGCTATGAAACTTCTGACGTTTGGAGAAAACCTGACGTACGCGTCCTCTCAAGGACATAGTTTACAGCAAGCGCTCTACGATTTCACTTTATAACAACTATAAACTTAATAAGTTGGGAAGCATTTTGCGAACCAAAAAATGTTGTAATTTATAGATCATGCCTGTAAAAACGGTGTGTACCTGCACATGCAGAAATATATTATTATTATTATTATTATTATTATTAAACAAAATGTTCTGCCCTACAGACATGGGTGGATTGAAGTTATCTCCCCACCTTCACGTTTGCTGGTCAGTAACGTCACCCTCCCTCCTTTTGTGATGTTAGGCTCTCTTACGTTTGTGGTAAGTATGATTAATGCTTTAATCAAAGCACATAGTTGGAATACACTGTCTCTACTAGGTCCATGTTACAAGCAAATCAGATATTTAAAAATTCTGTTTTATGGGTTAGATGTCCATATAGTATATCACACTGCTATGAAAATAACTAATGGTTTAAAGAAGTAAGGATTAATAGTAAATCAAAAGATATGAGAGGGTATA